GGAAAAATATCACATAGTGGTGCTTTACGTAAAAGCTCTAATAGACAGTTTGGCATTTTTGCTATACTGCCCTTTAAGAAATGCCATATCCGTCCCTTATTGGTAGTTCCTTATGGCCAAATTTAATTCCTAAAATGATAGTCCCATTTTCTTTTTCCAACTACTATCAATATTAATTTTTTTTTTATCAAATTCCCTCCAATTTACAAAAATATTTGTGCAAATTTAGCTTCCCTATGTAAATTTTGCATTTCCACATAATTTTATTACTTTTGCTCTCTACTTTTTTGCATACCCCATGTAAATTTACCTTTTCAATGTACTTTTACTACTTCTTATTTAAGTTTCTTAATTCCTGTGAAATTTCACCATAAGGAACTATCAATAAGGGACGGAGGGAGTATTTTTTATTGGGTTTTATGGTTGTGTGAACACAGCGCGGAACCAAAACCCGCCCAAGGACCACATGCACAAATAAAAGGAACTAAACTAAAACATTCATATAATTAATAAAACAATAAACACATAAGAGCAAGAGAAAGAGAGAGAGGAGGGAAAATACGTTCATACCCTTGAAACGTGTTTTCCACTTATCACGAACACGAACCCACGACCGGAGCTAGAGCCTCAAATGTGAATCCTCCAACGAGGTCCACCTACGCGCCCGAAAACTTGGTTGATATTACCGGCTAGGATAATATCAACACTACTAACAAGAGGATCTCTTAAGGTTTTCTCAATGGAAATTCCTTTATAGAGTTCAACCCTTGCAATCCAAATCAAAAGGCAAGCTTGGGTATTTATAGGAGATACATCTCCATCCACTTGATATTCCATCAATGTGGGACTTTGCAAAGTTGAGAAATAAATGCATTTAATTTACTTCTTAAATAAATTAAAATGCTTAAAACAAATAATCAAACAACAAGTGGGAGTGGTTAGGTGAGGACCACAAGGAGGACCACATGGCCTCCTTTTCCCCAAGCCACCAAATCCACCAATAATATGCGGCCAGCTGGCTCATGCCTTGAGCACCAAGGCCAGCCTTTGCTGGCAGTCTTGTGCTCTCGGTTGAGCTGGCCAGCGATGACCATCGAAGACCAACAAGCCTTGCACGCTTTCAGGCCGCTGCTACCGCTATCGTAAGCCCACGTGCAAGGCGGGCCACTATTGCTTCTTGCTGGCTGCAACACATGCTAGCAAGGCTTAGCTAGCTACGCTATCTGCTGGCCCTTGCTTACGATGCCTGTACGCCACGCACTCGGCCAGCAGGCCCCAACCAGCCCACGCACATAGTTTCCTGGCCTTGCGGCCAGTGCTACGCTTGCGGCAACATCAAGCTAGCCCATCCCTTGCACGGTTAGGCCACTGTGAGGCTAGGACTATATTTGTTGTTGTTTGATTTATTTGCACGTCTCGTTGGTTCCTAGAATCGACTAGACCTCCGACATTCGGCTTCGACGCTCTAAGCTTGGAATCCGACGTCGGAGTACACATCCTCTTGTTTGATGTATTAAGACCTTCGGCTTAATTCATCGCCTTAGTTCGGTTGCACTCTTGGGTGTGACCCATTGGGTCCAGTCAAAGGAAAGCTGTGAGATTAATATAATTAATCTCACAAATCGGAGATGGCCTCTAGCCCGACTTTCTGATTACTTGACTTCATTGAATAATTAACTCTGTAATTTATTCTGAACCTTCTATCGTAATAATACACTTGTTCGAAGGACACCTTTCCTTTCAATCTTTTACTTGTCCTTCCGGACAAGTGTGCAATGTGTGTATTGCCCTTTTCTTATGTCACTTAATTTCTCTTCATGAACTATAAGGTAAGATTTATCGTCATCCTTGTTACGTCCAGAAGTGTTTCTCAAAATTCTTAGTTCGACTATCAAGTACTGATGATTTCTAAAATCCATCTGAGCACGACCATGCATTTTCACAGCATAGCTCTTCGAGAGGCCTTGTAAACAACAAAGACATGTTTCCTATTGTTAATAGGAGAACATTCCCAATCTTGTATTGATAAGCTTCTCTTACTAAGAGACCTAGTTGCCCGAGTGTCATCTTTATAATCCCCTTTTATGGATGACATTTGACCAACATCAAAACATAATAATGCTCTTAAAAGCGAACTTACAGTAATCACGGTCGAGGAAAGAGGTACCGATAGCAATAATGAGAAATATACTTATGACGATTTTAAATCTCTTAAAGTATTCTCATAGGTCGATCCAGTATAGTTCCAAACTAATACCTGTGCAAATGATTTATGACATTCTTGTCCTTGTAGAACAAGAATCCGGTATAGTTCCAAACTAATACCTGTGCAAATGATTTATGACATTCTTGTCCTTGTAGCACAAGAAACAGTGTTATAAAACATACTACACACTAATCTCGTGCGGTCATTAGTCGTCCAACTTTTAAATGACCTTAATTAGGGATAGTTTCGATATGACATTCAATGTTCACTTAATAGGTGTTTCTTTATCCAAGACATTGTCTTAATACCTAATTTTGAATGTCGTCAAATCGAATGGACTCATTATTTAATTCTAAACCACATTTAAATAGATGTGGAATAATAATATTGCATAAAATTTAAATTAATCTATATATAAGTTGTTAACTTAGTGTTTTACATCAAGATGTCCAAAATTTAATTAAAAGACAAAATATAGGAAATTAGAGCCGATCTCCAATGTGCCTAATTCCAATAGCCTCAACGTGCTTATTGTGCTTCACTTGAGGAAAAGATTTAGTGAGTGGATCGGCTATGTTATCGTCTGTTCCAACTTTGCAAACCTTGACTTCCAGCAATCAATTCCCTTACGAGGTGAACTCGTTGCTCAACATGTTTGACCTTTTGGTGTTGCCTCGGCTCCTTGGCCTGAGCAATAGCCCCATGATTGTCACAAAACAGGTTTATTAGTCTCTTGATTGAGGGCACAACACCAAGTTCACCAATGAACTCTAGAATCCAAACTGCCTCCTTAGCTGCTTCTGAAGCTGCTAATTACTCGACTTCAGTTATAGAACCTGCAACCGTGCTTTTCTTAGCACTCTTCCAACTAAACGCTCCGCCACTTAGATAGAATATGTATCAAGATTGCGATATGAAGTCGTCTCTGTCAGTCTGAAAGCTTGTTTCGGTATAACCTTCAACTACCAAGTACTTACTTCCACCATACACCAGAAATTTATCCTTGTTCCTTATCAGGTAATTTAGGATATTCTTGGTCGAAGTCCAATGCGCCTCTCTTGGTTTTGATTGGTATCGGCTCGTAGCACTCAAGGCATACAATACATTCGGCCTTGTACATATCATGACGTACATGATCGATCCTATTAGTAACGCATATGGGATCTGATTCATTGTCTCTCGCTCATCATATGTCTTTGGACACTGTTTCTTGCTGAGACTTATACCATGAGACATGGGTAGATGGCCCCTTTTGGCGCCCTCCGGAACCATGCCAGTACCTTATTGATATAAATGTTTTGGCTCAATCCAATCATCCTTTTAGATCTATCAAGGTAGATCTTGATGCCCAATATGTACTGTGCCTCTCTTAAGTCTTTAATTGAGAAACAATTTCCATGCCAAGTCTTTATAGACTTTAACATTGGAATGATATTTCCAATGAGCAATATGTCATCAACATATAAGACTAGGAATGCGATGTCACTCCCACTGACCTTCTTGTATACACAAGCCTCATCTAGATTCTTAATAAAGCCAAACTTGCTAATTGCTTCATTAAATCGCAGATTCTAACTCCTTTTAGCTTGCTTTAATCTGTAAATGGATTTCTTAAGCTTGCATACCTTCAATTCCTAGAGTTGTTTGGATCCACAAAATCCTCAAGCTGTGTCATATACACATTCTCTTCTAAAAATCCCATTTAAGAAGGCGGTTTTGACATTCATTTGCCATATTTCGTAATCATAATATGAAACAATTGTTAGGATAATCCGGATAAACTTAAGCATTGCAACTGGTGAAAAGGTTTCATCATAATCAACACCGTGAATCTGCCTATAACCTTTTGCCACCAGTCTAGATTTGTATACATATACATTTCCATCTTTGTCGGTTTTCATTTTGAAAACCCATTTGCAACAGATAGGTTTGTAACCTTCGGGCAAATCAACCAAGTCCCAAACTTGATTTTCAAACATGGAATCCATCTCAGATTTCATGGACTCTAACCATTTAGCAAAGTCGGGGCTCGTTATAGCTTTCTTGTAAGTTGCAGGCTCTTCGCCATCCATCACTACGATTTCTTGATTCTCGGTTAACAAGACAACAAGGTAGTTGTCTGGTTGATATCTTTGCCTTTGCAACCTACGCAGGGTAATTGGTTGAGCTTCAACATTGTTGGTTTTACCCTGACTTTCATCAACAGGTGCTTCCGAATCCCTTAGAGTGTTAGGTTCCTTTTGTTGCTCAACCTCTCGAACTTCATCAAGTTCGATTTTCCTCCCACTTGTCATTTTGGAGAGATGCTCCTTTTCCTAAAAGACACCATCTCGAGCAACAAATACTTTGTTCTCAAATTGGTTGTAGAAGTAATACCCTTTTGTTCCATTTGGATATCCCATAAAGAAACATTTTTCAGATTATGGTGCAAACTTGTCAGATATGTGTCTCTTGACATATTTTTTGCAACCCCAAATTTTAAGACAAGACAACCGCGGAGGTTTAATCGTCCATAATTCATATGGAGTCTTTTCAACAGCTGTTGACAGAGCACGATTCAATGTTAGTGCAGCAGTTTGAAGTGCATGTCCCCAAAAAGAATAAGGAACACTAGTAGAAAAAATGAAAAAGGCACCCCCCTTTTCGCACCGGTTCTTAAAAACCGGTGGGAAAAATAATGGGCGGGATATTGGATAATTACTTTTCGCACCGGTTCCTTATAAACCGGTGCCAAATCTTGGTTTTCCAACCGGTTTGAACCGGTGCTAAATATTTTTTATTTAAAAAAAAAGAGGGAAAACGGATTTGGCACCGGTTCAACACAAACCGGTGAGAAAAGCCTATTTACAACCGGTTCGAACCGGTGCCCAATTTAAACAAAAAAATCCGCCTTATAGCTTCTTCTTCCTTCAGTTCGTTTAATTATTTCGCATTCCCCTAATCCCCTGCTTTCCCAATTGCTCTTTTTCTCGCCTACGACCCTAACTGCAACTTCAATTATTCTTCCTCTCTCGTTCTCGCCTACGACCCTCACCATTGCTCTCCTTTGCTGTCCTCCATTGAAGCTCATTCTGGGTTTCTCACCTCCATTGCCGCGCAACTCTTCTCTTTCTCTCCATAACTCTCCTCCATTGAAGCGCATTCTGTCGAGCTTTCTGACCTCCATTGAAGCGCATTTTTAGCTTTCCAACTCCATTGTAGCAGCTTCGAGGTATTATTTATTTCGTGGTCTGGATAATCTATTGAATAATTTCGCAATCTAGGGTTAGTCGTTGATTTAGGGTTTTCTGTTCTTTGTGGTTTGCTTAAATTTCTGTTCTTTAATTTCGTGTTGTGCATTCAACAATATAGTTCATTGTTTTAGGGTTTTATGTTCTTTACGGTTTGCTTTGAGATTTTGGGTGGATTTTGTTGTAACAGTTGGGTTGGGTTGAGGTCAAACCCTCTAATTCTGTTCTTTACGATTGTTATGAAAACCCACAATCTAAAGCCTTGCAACAAGAGTTTTTCGTTTTTTTTTCATTTTATTCATTGCAAGACAAACATTTATATATATGCGATGGTTGATGTAGTTGCCAAAGACATGAACTACTGCATAGTTTTGGTAAATTTGGTATTTTGTAATGTGCTATGAGCTAATGAAAGACCAAAGATGACTCGAGTGGAAGGAATGATGTAGCACTAGATGAAAGTGAATGGAGGACGATCTTTATGGGCTTTTGACTCTTGCATCCGACCTCATCTCTATGGAAATAAGGCTATGGGTTTGTTGTTTTAACACTAGATGACCAATATAAACCTTATTCGGAAATTTTGAAATTTTAAATCCATACCATTCAATGTAGCTAGGGAAAATCAACTCCATAAAACACCTATGGATTTGATTCTTTTCTTTTATTAAAAACAGTAATTGGATTCTATCCAACTTTCCTTTCAACAAGCTCAAAGATAATCACCTTAAAAACCTTGTACTGGAAAACAATCATCTAATTGTTCTATATAGAGAATTTTTTAAATTGTCCTCAAAGAAGAGGGAAAAAAATTAATTAATTAATTAAAAAAAAAGTCAATAACATTTTAGCCCAGTTTCCCCCATTGAAAAAAGGTTAGATTTTTTTTTTTTTTTTTTTTTTTTTTTTTTTTTTTTTTTTGTTTTACTTATATCTTATGGATTAGTACTTCTCACCATGAGAAGTGAAGTGAATGACACTCTGCCTAGGATTTATGTTATATATTTGATAAGTCAAAGTTAAAGGTAAGGTTGGAGCCTTGTGATATATTCCATTTCCACAATTCTATTTGCCGTTTCAATAGGCTACAATTTCTAACTTCAAAGTCTAATAAAACCACCTATTCAACAAAACCCAAACAAATTTGTCTCCATTCTTTGTTAATCCCCTTTCCTACAATTCTTGGTATTTCTAAGGCCATGTCTAAATTACATTTTCTGCTAAGATATTTTACAAGTGAAGATGGTGCGTAAAAAAATGTTACATTTTGGGTAATAAATAGCTAACAATCGGAAGATAGGTAGCCATAAGGAAATTCTAGTGGTACCCTTCAAATTCACTTTATTTTATCTTATAATACTTGCTGACATTATTTAAGAGAATCTGAAGAGTAGTCCACCTTCCAGAAACAAGCAGGACTTTATCACTGCTATCTGTTCTTATGATAGATTATAAGAGCATCATAGAACCCTAAGAGAACCTAGCTACACATGAAAATATCTTTACACATATATAAATATGTACATAAAGTGATAAATCCCTATTCCCCCACTAAAAAAGGCCCTGTTCTCCACCTCATTTTTTGGGTAATTGGAATTTTGTAATGTGCTATGAGCTATGTGAGTGTTGGTGACATGAAATCAATTGGCGTTTCTTTTTCTAGCTGTGCTGGGAAATCACCAATTGACCAGCTTGACCTAGATAAGATTTGAGGTTTTGTTGTCTGGTCAGGCTAGATCACAATTGGTGTTCTTACATGCTGATAGTATATTGTTTTGTGTGGCAGAAGAGTTGCATTTTTCATGCCATTGAGTGTTAAAATGCCTAAATTTATAACTGATTGGAGTGATACAAATGTTTATAGTTTATACTTATTAATGAGCGATGAAAGAATTCAGGCAATTAAACCATTTGGTTGTTTATTGGAGTGTGTGGTTTGAACCGGTGGGGATTGGGGTTTTTCTCCTAGTGTAATATGGTTGATTTGCACTACATAATAAGATCATTAGATTCTTTATTTTGCAGCTTGTAATACACTGATAGCACAAGATTTAAATATTATTTAAAATATACCTGCAGGTATCTGTAAAAGGTACCAGTGATGAGGCTGAAGCTGCAAAAGTTGCACGCTCTGTAGCATCTTCTTCTCTTGTCAAGGTTATATATCTGTCACGTCTTGCATACAAAATTCATGTCTCTATTAATCAAGCTTTACCTTACCTAGTCTGTTGTACCTATGCTTCAAGGCTGCTGTGTACGGACGAGATCCGAACTGGGGACGTATTGCCTGTGCTGCTGGCTATGCAACAGTCCCTTTCAACTTAAGCAAACTTCTAATATCACTCGGAGACATTCTGCTAATGGATGATGGACAGCCCCTTCCATTCGATCGGTATGGACATAATTATTTTTCGCGCCTTATTGTGAGAGCAGCTGAATCGCTTGAAAGAAATCTATTTTGGCATCCTTCAGCCTTGAATTAAAGTAAAGAATACACTTCGTACAAAATTCTGACTGTTATAGATGGTTTCAGTCAGTGTGGCAAGTGCTATTTCATCTGATTCAAACGTTTTTAGAAATTATGGTTTTGTATCAAAGATTTTGAATTTCAAATCCTAAGTCATTTAGTAATAAGGCTAATTTGAGTTGGGTGCTTTTGATTCTTCCCTAATGTAAGATCGTTATTATCAGCTGACTAATTACAGTTTAAATAATTCTCCAGGGCGGCTGCCAGTAGTTACCTTCAGAGAGCTGGGGAGGAACACGGTACTGTTGAAATATGCATCTCAGTGGGTAAGTTGAGCATCAGAGCATCTATCTAAATTTGCACATGACTTATTTTTTTTTTTATGAAATTGAATTGGTGATACGGGGGAAGGAAATATCGTAGCTATTCCTGTTCCCTTCGATTGAACACAGACATTAGTTTACAAATTTGGATATATCTTTGGTGTCATAAAGTTGAGATCCAGGTTTGATATTCAATTCCATCCTTTTGGGCTTTATGGGGCATCACTTCACATGACTTTAGTGTTGGAAGGGTTCAAGCCACTTGTTCCTCTAGTCATTTCCTCTTATACATGTAATTCTGGAGTTCATTCAAGTTATTGATGTACTTAGTTAATTAGGCAGTACTGCTGTAGTATATACTATATAGATCATTTCATTGGCTCTAAGCGCATCTGCGTTGTAATGACAAGGGATTGGAAACTTGAGTGCAGTATGTGATGACCGGGTGAGAGATAAAAATAAAAGACAACTATGGTAGACATAGCATATACTCTATATTGTTAGGTATCATGAGGTAGAAGGTTTTGCTATTTGAAGGGGACAAAACTTTTCAGAACACTGCCTTGCTCACTGAACTTTTCAGGTTACTGCCCTTTAATCCCTCACCGCCCTTCCCTTCCTTCCAAATTCCCACTTCTGAACATTGTTAATTCTTGAAATAGGAGACAAACTAAGAACATTGAACATGAGTAGAAGTGGTGGTGCAAGAAAGAGGAAAGCTATTGGCGTTAACCCTATAGGAGGGTAAATATTCCCCCATTCTTCTATTCACAAGCTCACACCATCATTTCCTCATCTCCTCTACCACCACGTTCACCCACCTACACTTTAGAAAGTTATTGCTTCTTGTTTACGTCTAAAAGGCCAAAATTGATTTGATGACAAATTCCTCTATTCCTTTTGTGCCATGGAAATATGTTCAGTGGTATAGAAATAAGGGCTAGATTAGTTTTAGGAAAATATTGTAAATAACCACCCCTAAAATTGAATTTACCACCTATTTTTTTGTTTATTTTAATTAACCACCCCTTAAAGTGAAAAAATTTAGAAATCTATAAGCATTTAGAAGCGCACATGGTCTATGTATATGTACAACTGTACACTGTCCAGAATGTCCACAAAAGCAACATATTATACAAGATTTTTGATGTGTAGATTTTACCAAGAGTAGTCCTTGAAGCAGTGCCAAAGGACCTGCTCAGAAACAAGAAACACAGGAACAAAGCTATTGACCTGCTTATAACAGAGTGCAAGAAAGTATATTATTCTGAATTTTGTTCTTTCTAAGATATAATTTTCAGCTTAGCTTTTTGGTTTGGAAGAAAGTCAAAATGAGTACAGGAATTTATTTTCTTTCTAATATATAATTAAAGATGTCGAATCAGGTGTGTAAATTTTGTTCTTTCTAATATATAATTTTCAATAGCCATCTGATCTTGAAATTTATTTTCTCCCTTTGCATCATCTTACTCCAACTTTCATCCCTCTTTGATGTTTACTTAGTTAATTACTCATTTTCAGGCTGTTTGACTTCTGGTTTGTTCTGACTTTTGGGATTCATTGGTTTGTTCCGACTTTTGGGATTCATTCTCCTTTTTGTGAGCAACTGTACATCGACATCTCAAGTTCTGAATTTAATTCATATTATGAGGCAGAAGTTCAGTGACATCTTAACTATGTACATCGGATATTGTAGCTTTGGAAAGTTTTCTTCATGTCTGATGTAGATGTGAGATTTTCAGCAATGTAAAATTGCATGTTATTTTTTTTGATGAAAATTGTAATATTATAGCCTTTTGTAATGAAAATATGTAACTTTATATATATTTTAGTGTTTATATATCAACTTAAGTGAAAAAAATGCAAAAAGAAAAAAAAAATTATTTTTTTGGGGCACTTTTAGCACCGGTTTTGGAACAGAACCGGTGCTTAAAGTTTTTTATATAATTTTTTTGGGACTTTTAGCACCGGTTTAAAGCAAGAACCGGTGCGAAAAGTCCTTTTTCCCACCGGTTTTAAACCGGTGCGAAATCTATGGGGTTTTAGCACCCCCCGAATCCAACCCGGTTCAAAACCGGTGCGAAATGGGGGGTTTGAACCGGTGGGGAATTCGTATTTTCGCCTAGTGGAACATTGGTAAGAACCATCATGGATCGAACCATGTCTAACAAAGTTCAATTCCTCCTCTGGGATACTCTGTTCCATTATGGAGTTCCAGGAGGTGTTAATTCTGAAAGAATGCCATGTTCTTTCAAATGATCATCGAATTCATAGCTCAGATAATCTCCTCCTCTATTCGATCGAAGGGCTTTGATTTTCTTGCCGAGCTGTTTCTCTACTTCACTCTAAAACTATTTGAAGTTCTCAAAAGATTCAGATTTGTGCGACATTAGGTAGACATATCCATATCTACTATAGTCGTCCATGAAAGTGATGAAATAGCGATAACCATTCCTTACAGTCGTGCTCATTGGGCCACATACATCCCTGTGAATGAGACCCAATAAGTTACTTGCCCTTTCTCCTAGCTTGGAGAAGGGTTGCCTTATCATCTTACCAAGTAAACATCCTTCGCAGTTTTCAAATGGCTCTAAGTCAAACGAATCAAGAATGCCTTCGTTAAGAAGTTTCTTGATGCATTTGATGTTTATATGGCCTAGACGAGAATGCCACAAGTAGGTTGGATTCAACCCATCGGTCTTAACCCTTTTGGCGATATTGTAAACATTATAAACCTTTTTGTCCAATGAAAGAAAATAAAGACCATATTTTGAATATGATGTACCATATATAACATTTTCAAGATAAAACGAACAACTATTGTCCCTTATCATAAATTCAAAACCCTTGGCGTCTAACGCTGAAATTGAAATAATGTTTTTGGTAATGTTTTTAACATGATAACATTCATCCACTCCTAACACAAACCCCAAGGGCAAATACAAACTAAGTGTTCCTACGGATACAGCTGCAATCCTTGCTCTATTACCTACTCGAAGTTACACTTCTCCCTTCGCTAGCTTCCTACTTTTTCTTAATCCCTGAGAATTAGAACAAAGGTGTAAGCCACATCCGGTATCTAATACGGTAATACCCATGAAGCATTGCTAGCAAAGTTAAGGTCTATGACATATATACCTGATTTAGAAGCAACGGTGTCGTACGGTGCCGTTCTTCTTATCTTCCTTCAGCTTTAGGCAGTCCTGTTTCTAATGCTCCTTCTTCTTGCAGTAGAAGCATTCGGAGTTGGTTGGAGAAGAAGAAGCTGCCTTCTTTTGCTTGTCACCTTTGACAGCTTTTGGCTTAGGCGGAGAGGTCTTCTTACCCTTCCCCTTATAGCCCTTCTTCTTGCCTGATCACTTAAATGGCTTGCTCTTCTCGACCATAAGCATGTCATGCTTCCCCTCATCTTTGAGCGTTTGCTCGGCTTGCTTCAACATTTCGTGAAGCCCCGTGAGGGTTTTCTCCATGCTGTGGATTTTATAGTTCATCTTGATCTGGTCATAACCTTTATGCAGCGAGTCGAGAATAATGTAAATTGCCATTTCGTTCGAGTATCCCGCATCAAGCCTCTCCATGTTCTCGAATAATCCAATCATTTTGAGCACATGATGGCTAACGGACTCTCCTTTCTTGAGCTATCAAGGATTTGCCGATGTGTCTAGAACCTTTCGGTCCTAGCCTGCTCTTGAAACATATTCTGAAGTTCATATATGATCTCAAAAGTCGTCTCCCTCTCAAAAACTGTCTTTTGAAATTTCGGGGACATCGTGGCTAACATGATGCATTTGACATCCCGGTCGGCAACAATCCATCGGTTTAGGGCAGCCTGTGTCACTTCCTCATTTGGAGTTTGATGCATTTCCTCATCAAGGACATACTCCTTTTGTTCCTGCATAAGAACAATCCTCCATTTCCTTTGCCAATCAAGGAAGTTGGTTCCACTTAATTTCTCTTTGTCGAGAAGTGAGCGGAGAGAAAACTGGTTGTTGTTGGTGTTATTTACAGACATTGTACTACAAATGAAAAGAATTTCAATGAATAACCATTCATAAACCAATAAGTTTGAAATTTAAAGCAAACTTGTAACATTCAATCTTATTGACGTTTTATTCACACATTTATAACTTTTGTCCCATTAGGTGAGAATAAAACAATTCCAAGATCCCAAAAATCAATAAGTGATTAAGCATGCTTTGGCTTGTCTTAACACTTATTATTTTAAGGTAAGCAATCCAATTGCTAATAGTTCCAAACTATTCTTGGTTTGATAAGTTGTCGCATCTAATGCATTTTTGACACTTATCTCGTCTGCCACAATATCTAAGGACTCCTTACCGATATTATTGGTTTAACCAAAACTAACGCGTATATCTAATATACCTTACGTCCCTAAGAAAGTGATGATGCCTTACATTGGCATAGCCCATCACCTACTTTCAAATATTTAGTATGTGTCATTTTGGAATGACAATTTTTAACTCAATTTTCTATGGGACTTAGAGTTTCTATGTTTGTTTGATTTAAGTGAACTTAACTAATCATTCAACACAAGAAATCCCCTAATACATGCATCTAAATATCAAGATATATAAGAAATATATAAATAGATACGTATAAATGCATAGTGAACTAGCATGACCCCTTGAAAACTTGAAGCATCCAATCTTCAATCATCAAGGTCATCTTGACACCTTAAGGCTCCATCTTCAAAGAAATGTCATCTTTCTTGACTTCACCATCAAACATGCAAGAAATAGATACTAGGAGTAATCTAAATTAACTAAGTACAAAAATACATAACGACACGCAGTCCGTATTTAGATTTACAAAAATACGTAATGGAACGTAGTCCGTATTTTCTATCCTAGTCGGGCCATACTAGTCAATTTTGTAAAAAACCTGAATAAGAACATTTAAAATATTCCATTCACCCATTCACTTCTAAAGTGAATGGCCCATGCAATTTTTTACAAACAACACAAGCAATAATACATAACTTGTATCAAAAGGCGCGCACTAGTTATTAACTTAGGTCGTTAATCCAATTAACATTCCTAATTAAAACTAGTCAAGTGTTTATCCAATTATGTGAACTAATGCAATAACGATAAGCATAATTAAAGCTTAACGAGCTCAAAACCGATTAATGAACCTCCCACTAAATTCCACATCCAACTTAATTAAATTAATCCAATTAAATTTTAATTAAGCGAATCGAGTCATTTTTGTCAAAAAAATGCAAGTACGTAAAAAACCGAGGCCTAGCCTCGTTTAAAAAAAAACCGCAAAATTGAGCCAAGCACCTAGCTCCCAAGCTAAGAG